CGCTGCAGATGCCCAGAGGCGGCCCCCGGCCCCTGGCCCTCCAGACAGTGAGCTGAGTAGACCTGGTTCTTTACAAATCCTCTAGGCTCAGGGCCTGTTTCCGTGTGAGCAACCCGTCACGAAGACATCAGAGCAAGTGGCATTTCGTGCCAGGAGGAGCAGCGTGTGCTGCGTGCCCAGAGTGGCGGCTGGGATGCCGGGCATGCCACAGGCCCAGAGGGGACAGGGGTCGTAGTGAGGGGTGCCCTGGCAGCCACCTGCCAGCATACTGAGCCACCACACAGCTGGGCTCTTGACAGAAGTGCGTGTGCACACACACACACGTGCACATTCAGAGCACACACATTCAAATGTGCATACACATGTTCACACATACATAGTATGTGCACACACCCGCATTCACAGTTGTGCACAGTTCACACTGCTAGAAATATGTACACACACACAAGCACATGCTGGACTAAAGCACCCACACACGTATGTTAACACACATGTGCGTACATGCAGGGCTCTGTTCGGAGTAGATAGTGATACTGCCCCCCCATGAGAAGCACACACGTGCACACACACATGCATACACACACATATAGGGCCTTGTGTTGTGATGCTGTCTTCCCTCCCCTGAGGCACACACACATACACACACACACGGGCTCTCCGTGGGGCAGCTGTGAGGCTGCCTCCTCCCCCCCAGGCACCCACTCACACCCACACGTACACACATGCACATGGGCTCTCTGTGGGGTGGCTGCAAGGCTGCCTCCCTCCCCCAGGTGCACCCACTCACACACACACACACAGGCTCTCCATGGGGCAGCTGTGAGGCTGCCTCCCTCCCCCAGGTGCACCCACTCACACTCACACACACGTACACACACACACGGGTCCTCCCTGGGCCGGCTGGGAGGCTGCCTCCCTCCTCCAGGTGCACCCACTCACACACCCACATGTACACACACGCACATGAGCTCTCCGTGGGGCGGCTGTGAGGCTGCCTCCCTCCCCCAGGTGCACCCACTCACACTCACACACACGTACACACACACACGGGTCCTCCGTGGGGCGGCTGTGAGGCTGCCTCCCTCCCCCAGGTGCACCCACTCACACTCACACACACACACATACACACATGCACACAGGCTCTCTGTGGGGTGGCTGCAAGGCCACCTCCCTTCCCTAGGTGCACCCACTTCAACTCACCCACATGTACACACACACACACACACACGGGCCCTCCGTGGGGTGGCTGTGAGGCCACGGGAGAGTGGCAGCTGGCGAGGGTGGAGCAGGGGCTCGTCCGGAGCCTGTCACCATAGGACAGAGCAAGTCCCAAGGTTACTGTAATGCTGGAAAACTGTGACACTTCATAAAACCCATGTTTATTCAAACCTCCATTCAGAAAGTGTGGAAAGCGTAATAAATATCTGTACAGTGGCCGTCCCCAGACGCGGAGAGTAACACGCGGACACCGAGGGCTCTGTAAACTACGCGCCGTCCCCCACTGCAGGCGCGGGGAGGCCGCGGGGAGGCCCGGCTCTGCAGCCCGCCGGGCGCACTGCCCGCCACCTCATTGCACCCAGGGCCGCCAGCGTCCTTTTTCTGTTCTAGAACTTCTGTGACCATTGGAAAGGCGGGGCGGGGGCCACATGTGAGACGTGCTCGTGTGTTGCCACGCGGGGAACACCCGGCTAGGACCCCACTGTTAGCCCGGAGCGGCCGTCCCAGCTTCAACACCAGAACACAGTTCCTTCCAGACCGCGCCGGGCCTAACCCGAGGAGAAAACCACATCTTGTCCATCGTCCTCGTCTGGTTCAGGGGCTGGGGACCTGGCAGAGCTTTCCCACGGGGCCAGATCAGGCATTTCTCGTAACGAGGGAGCTTCTAGGGTGGGACATCTATGGGTGGCCCACGAAGGGACGGGTCCTGTGCTGTTTCTAATGCTCCAGAGGGCCCCGGCTACCTGTGTGGGCAGAGAGCCCGTCACTCCCGGGGAAGGCTATGTCACCTGCGTGAGCCATGGGCTGCCTTCTGCTACACGCACAGGGGCCAGGGCGGGGGACACGGAGCTGTTGCCACTCTGCCACCTGGAGCACTGCCGTTTCTGAACAGGCGCCACCTCTCGGCCCACGGAGGGAGTGTCCAGGCAGCCGTGCGTGGGGGACCGCCACTTCTGAGCTGACTTCCTGACACGGACCTGGCGCAGCTTCCCGCGGTGGATGGTGGACATTCAGAGCACACACACATCCACACACACCCACTACCCGAGGACCCGGGTGGGCGGTGCCCTGGGGGAACGCCATGCACACCAGGAGGAGCAGGCTGGGGCCAGGCTCACGGGCCCTTTGGTGCTTGCACGGCTCAGAACAGGTGGCAGGAACTTGGTGACAAGGAGGGACGGGTGAGGGTACAGGCCTGCAGTGTCCTCTCTCCCACACCAGAACCCAGGACCTCAAGCAACAACCCACAGGCAGAGAGGCCCCAGCCCAGGTCCCCGGCCCTTGGGGAGCTCCCGCCGGTCACGTGCAGAGGTCCTGACTTTTGCCATGTCGACACACTGTGACCTGAGGCACACTCTCCATGTCCCCTAGGTGTCCAGGAAGAATTGCTGCGGGGTCACTGCAGCCTTGGAGAAGGCGTCTCTGTGGAGGAAGTCGGCAGCTGCCCGGTGGGCGCTGTCGAGGGGCGCTCGCCTGCCCGCCTTGTGCGCGTGGTTGGGAACGACAGCGTAAAGCCTTGTGGCCTGAAGGCAGCGCCGAGCAAGTTTCTATTTAAGGTCTGAGAACTAGACCGAGCCGGGACTGCTGTTCAGAATGCAGCTTTTTTTTTTTTTTTTTTTTTTTTTTTGTTTGGGTTTTGGGGGTCGGG